AAACATATGGGTGGTCTTCTAAAAAAGTTGAAGTACAAACAAAAGAGGAACAATAGGGGGTCCCCAGTTGCAGGCAAATGCACACTTGTGTGTGTTTACCTTCAAACACCCATTTCTTGTTTCTACATCAACGTTTATGTGCGAAAACAACCTAATGTTGAACTCAAGATTTTCCAGATTTTAAAGGAGATTTTTTGAACACTCTTGAAACCAGGAAAATCCTGATGACAAAATATGAAATCAGAAACAATCTTGACAAATCTCACCCCTTCAAATTGCAGTGTTCTTCTGTGCAACGCTTCGTGATTGCAACTGGTTCCGTATGGTACCAGCATCCGGACATTCACTAGTCATGCTAGTACTGCAGACAGAGAGGTAGACGAGTCAGGATACTCACTCATGTCACACGTACAGTCAGGCATCAATGTTGTGAATGCGACAAGAAATTCAAGATGTGGACTTTAACCTTTGCTGCACAGAATGGAATTCTCTTCAATTATGAACCTGACCTGGCATTATTGAGTCTAAAGATACATGTACAATCAAGTGACATGTCTTCATAACTCATCAGCCGCATCAGGGAATGACACACAGTAACATCCAAACTTTTTACACTTGTCAGGACAACTCATGGTGAAGCAACCGATAACATGCATAAAACAAGGTTGCTGGGACTTCACAGATTACCTTGTTCTAAACAGGGACGTTGTATTACAGGAAAGACAAGCATGCAAAGATTTAGAGAAACCTAAAAATTGATTTTGCTATAAGCAGGATATGTTGGAAATCAAGATTTGACTGTATCCCACTGACTTAAATTTGACTCAGTGACTCTCGAGTTGAAAAGTTGAGTTTGCTGTGTTGCGCTATAGGATAAATTTACTTTTTAAAGTGCCGTCTGCCTTTTCTGAGGAATGTACATGTAAATGTAAAATTCTGGTTGGCGAATATCGCATGCACTCTACCCAAAACAGAAAAAAAGGGCAAACTAGAAGTGAGATTGTCAACCTTTGAGTAGTGGAAGAGGATCCACCGAGGACAGCTGGTACTGCACACATCAAGGAGGAATCTGCAGCCACAGGTTGATCTCAATCAAGGGTGGTGACGGCATGCATCTTGTAGATGGCACTGGGGATGGTGTCTCTCTGTTGAACAAATGACAGATACCAAATGATCAAGGGCTGGTGGAGAAATTCCTTAAGGATGCAGTCAACCAAGCACCACAGAAAATCATGAAAAATTAACCCCAAAAGAGTCCTCAATATTTTTCCACTATCTCCACAGTGCATTTTCTCAGGAACCAAGCCTTTGTTGGAGTTTTCACAGAAAATCTTTGGGGGCATGTTTTAACGAATTTTGTGGAAAATAATAGGCCTACATGTACATGTACCATTCTTGTGCAGCATTTTTTTTTTTACACTGCTGTGCTCAATGCTTGTGGGAAAGTATACATGTGGCCTTGAATTTCCATATGACAAAACTATCAGTACACGTCTTACTTCAAATTTCACAAAATGAGAGTATTAATACATGAATGCCAAGTTTTAAAGAACGTCCACTACGGCACAGCCAAGTTCTTGGGGAGGGGGAATCTCAAGCCTGGTCACCAGCCATTTTGAAATGGCTTCCCTCTACTTTCTTAGGCACTTAGGCACTGTTTTCAATCCGTCACTTCATCAACTCTGCCCTCGGATGGAAGCCCCCAATCCCAGGTCCTGTCCTACAATTCCACCCTTTTTTGTCCATATTTTTGGCCAAACAACCTAATTTTTCAAAAGAAACTGTGGGGAAACTTTTTCATGCTGATGAGCTCAGCAGAACTTGTCACTTGAATGAGTGCACTGCTCAAGACAAATTTGACAGATTGATACTGAACCCTAGCGGACGTCCATCTGAAGTCTCTGTGTGACTTTCATCTGCACTGTAAAATGATACTGTAAAATGTGTAATGTACTGCCTTTTGACTAAGACAGTAATCTACTGTAAACCACCTTTCCGTTTGTTACACATATTTGTCGTGTGTTTGTGAAATGCCTGGCACTTACTGACATAATGTTTTACGGACTGTAAACTTTGACCTTATTAGGCAAGTCAACACAAATGGGGTGTTTTTACCGCTACATTTCGCAAGTTATTTTGCCCTTTTTCGTAAGTTTCGCAAGCATTTCATTATTTTCACAAATGTTTTGCTTTGTGAATGTAGTTTTGCATATAAATGCCAGTTATAGCCCTCAACATCAATTAGACATTTTTGTGTTAATCTAATGTCTTCTCAACCTGTGAGTTACACGTTATCTTGACGTCAGCACTGGGTGCAAACATGCCGTCAGAAAGAAGTCAGTTATCAACGTTTTTTTCAATGCTAACTTGGTCATCGCCTGACGTTATTACGATGTTAATACAACATGGGTCTGCTGCTGGTGTTATGACCTAATTAACATAAATTTTGCACTGGGAGATGGGAGGGGCTTAATGCAGGAATGTAATTGCTGAGATGACCATATCTTCACCCAAGCAAAGTACCAGTACTCGTGGCTATATCAATGCCTGAACAAACACAATGCACCATTTCTCAAGCAATGGCCAGATGAATGCACACTTTATTTTCTATATGCTGTATCAGCATTGCAGTGTCTTGTTACATGTATACAGCCAACCATCATTCTTAATGGCTTAATTCATTTGCATTTCTGTCAATCCTTTTCTTGGCTTCTTTACTGGTGTAGAGGTGGTAATCTTTTCTTTCACAAGACAGTGTCCTTGCCCTTTGTCTTCACCTACTTTCTGTCTTGGAGTCACACCACCTGCACCCGTGGTAATAAACACCATCCTGTAGGTTAGAGAGACCAATCCATACTTTACCTATAGAGTGAGTGCGCATGCCTGCTTCCCATTACTCTTTTTCAGAGCTATAAATTCTGTCCATCTCTTCACTGTGCTCGTTTACCTGCATCTGTGCCATTTTCGTGCTTTTCCAGTCATAATCTGTAACATTGGACTCCTAAGCACAAGGACTGCATACTGCCTTATGCATTTATGCTTCACCTTATTGTATCATTACTGGTGAGGTGGTAATAGCATTTCCTCTTTCAGAGCAGAAATATGAACACAGGCTGGTCTTGCTCTTGTAGCCACACTGAAACAGAGGCGCTGGGATGTTTGTGACACGCTGGATTGTTCAAGCTGTATACTTGTCACAAGGGCAAAGAGCCGTGTGACAAAGTCAGCCATGGTTCTGATAATGAAAGGCAATATGACACACTTTGGCTGAGAGGCAACGGCTTTCAAGATCAGTCTTCCCTGACAGACTGAGGATTATACCTGATGATGACAGGCCAAGGTTGGAAATGAAATGGCACAAGACTTGCTACATGTACATGTATATAAACTTTGCTTCAGAATCCTGCATATCAAGACTGCGTGAGAAAAGTAGGAAGATGGCTACGGAAAGGAATGACCAGAAAGCTCTCAGTCCAGATACCAAGCTTCTCAGTTATTGTTGTGACAATGAAAGTGTCACGAGAGATAACCGAACACTCCAAAGATGACTATGTTACATGTATGTCAGTGAGGATGGGTAATGTTGGTGACCTGATGGCTGCTGAAGGGAAGGATCACAAACAGTGCTACGTGGAATTCAAACAGAGGGTAAAGAAGAAAGATTGTTATTCTCAGTCCTCAAATCCATACCTCAATGACAGCAGAATTACTGGTACTTGGTCTGTCCATTGGTAATGCGTATGATATGGGTAATGTATGGGACAGATACATGTACATGTATGTGGAGGTCTGTTCACTGCAGAACAAGGGTGTCCCTGAATGCTACAGATCTGCTAGAAGATAGACATTTTAATCTGAACTACAAGCAGTTATTGGCAATAAAAGGATGTTTTTTGAGACCACTCAAACAAAGATCACACTTCTTCTATATCCCAGCGATAAACCCCAGTTTGTCATTGCCAGCGCCTTGATGAAGGTACCTGAATGTGACAAGGAACATCAAGACCTATCAATTCCAACAGAAAATGACATTCAGCAGATACTGCATTTGGCGCTGCAGTTGCAAAGTGACTTGGAAAATGATGCAGCACGAAGAGGTCTCACAGCTGAAGGTGTAGAGACTGTTGTTCCAGAGAGCCTGTTTCTTCTCCTCTCGTTGTTTGGTGGGGCTGGTATACTTGGCACTGAAGACATCCAAGATGATAATTGCACAAAGCAGAAAATAAAGAATATTACATGTACTCAGGACATTGTATTTGCTGTGTCTGTTAAGGGTGAAAAATTGACACCCAAACACACTGGACTGGGGATGACCTTGTACCAAGCTAAACAATCAGAAATACTGATTTATCTCTTCAATGCTGCTTACAAATTCCTTTAGATTTTCCTATTATTGTTACAATTAAACTCGCGTTATTTGCTTGTTTTGCACAATTTTCTGACAATCTTCATCTTATATGAAACTATGTTGGGGGGGAGGGGGGATACCTCTTCGCAAATAAAGTGTTAAACTCTTTCATTCGAAAGAATGGATTTGTGTGGGGTATATGCCTTAATTTTGGATTTTTGTTGGCCCTGCCCGATGTGTAATGTAATATTGTATACATGTACTCAGTGTATGCCTCCGAATCCACAAGTGTAGTTGGGTGGGATTCGAACATACGACTTCCTGTTTACTAGTGCAGATGTCTGAACCACTTGACCACTGAGCTTGCTGGTGTCGGCTATCTGGTTCCAGTCACATGAACAGTTTCCTTTCTTTTTCATTTGCACAACACAATTTTGGTTGTCCCTTCTTCATCTTTTCTTAAATGTTAAATCTTTGAATTTGTACGCTATACTAGGACTTTCTGAACAGGCTATACAGTAGCGGAAATTTGTGCTGGAAGTTGGGAGTGGGACCGGAGATGGGGACTGGTGGGGGAATGACTTGTTTGGCGACAGAAATTTGAACATATACTTATCTGATCATAAAACACAGCTGGACGCTTACGTTTCCTGCACAGCGTAACTGGTGTAATGAGAATCCTTGGGAACAAGAAGACTACAGACCAAGAACTTTCTCTGAGCTCTCCATGAAGTTTGTGAAAGCATATAGAATATATACATGCAGATGTACATGTATATGGATGGCCGTATTTTGATGCTGGAGACTCCCGTTTTGTTGTGTCTGTGCATGACATAGCTACGATCTGGCCGTCAATGGTGAAATTGTACAGTCTAAAGGAAAACCCCAACTCAGCATTTCTTGGTTTTTGTAACTGTGATCTACATTAATTGCTGTTGCACTGTCTGATGTTAGTGTACGCTTAGTCTGTGCATCCTCGTTTCGCTTTGCTTATTGGCTACTTTAATTACTTTGCTATCAGGTAATGTGTTTTTTTTCCCTCTAGGCTCCTAAGAATGCCTACTTATGACAATAGCTGGTTTGGGTCTACATACATGTAGGCAATGTGCTAATAAACCAAAGCTGAGTGTGGCAGTTAAATTACATCCTGTCACTGTCTACATGCCTTTTATAGTCCTCGTTTCACAATGGGACCAGTCTGTGTGTGGCATCCCACTAAACGATGTTGACCTTATCATTCTAGATTCCCGTTCTCTTCCCAAAACATTAATATTTTCCAACAACTTTTGAAGCCCGAGAGAGAGCATCTCCATTGTTAGTATATGTCCTGGTACAGAAATACACGTACCATGAAAAAAACTCTTCTGTGCTGTCTACGTTTTGGTTTCTTGTACTGAATTCTGATTTCCAGAGTGTTTCCAAGTGCACTGGTACTGTGTGTTAGGTCTGAGCCAAGTTTCTGGACCATCAAAGGAGACATTCTGGAAAATGTGGGCCATTTTGCAAAATCGACAAAGAATGAATACTGAAAACTGGTATGGTATAGAGTCTGGGAAATTCCAACCTAACAGTGCTGAATGGCATGTTTAATCTAGTTTGTTGTAGTCCAACTGTTGCTAGGATCATGCAGTTCTAGTAGAACTGAGTTTGGACACAATATACACTTCACAAAAAAGTTCAAGGACCACTTTTTATATTGTGTGTACTTTTTATATGAGATATTATACTGTTGAAAATGTGCATTTGATGTTTTGATTTTTTTTACATTTTTTATTCCAATGAAAACACCATCCAGACAAACAAAAATGGAAGTTATAGACCCCACTCACTGCTTGGAAAAATTAAAAGTTAAGAAAAAAGTGGTCTTTAACTTTGTTTGAGTAGAACATATTAAAAACAAAATAAAGTGAACAAGTTTCCTTCCTTCCACCTGCTTCATACCTGAGGAATTAAAGCTGATTGGACAGTTAATCAAGCTACTGACGTAGGCATACTGCTTCTGGAGTACTGCAGAGTGGGTGCGGGCATCACTCCTGCGGAATAATAGGCGACACTATTATTTCTGAGCCAACAAATTGACAAAGTTCGAGAGGAAATGATGGAGGCTAATAACAAACCATAAGGTTTAAAAAGACGAGTGGTGAGCAGAGAAGACATTTATACTGTCCGCAATTTTGCGGACTTGTGAAAATGTAACCATTTACACTTTCACTTGCAGTAAGCACAACTAAAAATTGTAATCGCAAAGTTTTGTTAAAGGTCAAAAGTGTTCTTTTTTTAATGTAACACCCTTAGCTGGTATTCATGTAGGACACCAGTTAAGTACTGTCCTGTACATATACTGAGGGTGTTAATTCAAATTTGAAAAAATGATAACACAGTTTGTGCAGGGTAAAATTAAACTGAATGAATTTAGCATGGAAATAGAGAAATTAACAAAAAAAACCCAACTCTTAACACATTACCTCCGGTTTTTTCCCCAGTTGATATCTCTCCTTGCTGAAATGGTGTCGAAATTTCACTCTGTCCGGAAGGTTTCAATATCCCCGGTGCAAATCCATCTTTGAAATAGGTTTTATTATGTCATAAGTTAGAGTAGCACTTCTGGGCGTTACTGGGTCAATGTTTGTTAATTAAAGAAGAACGAGTATGGGAAGATATAACAATAAACATGCTACAGCACCTTCCCCCTTGCGGGTTCCCTTGAAATCACAGAGAAAAATCTTGTACATGTATGTACGACTATCAAAGGGGTCTCTTATGCAAATTTTTGTGAAGGTTTCCTTACATGCCAACTTGTTTGAGGGTATTAACCCTCAAAAACACACATCAAAAGATACACTTAGTTTATACAGTGTAGTTAAAGAGCAACTCTAAGGAAAACATGTTTTCTCTGATTTGTATCTGATCAAATAAATTGAACACATCTAAATCGAACGCACTGTCATTTGTTTTCAGAGCTCAACTATAACTGAGTTTATCGTTTCAAATAAATATGGAAGCATCCAAATCGAATGCAGTGTCATTTGTCTTCAGAGCTCAACTATAACAAGCTAAAAAGGGCTTTTTTCCTGTTCATGCCAAAATGCAAATTCTGAACATGAACACAGGGCGAGGGTTACCCTCGTTTTCTCAGAATGACGCAATCTACATTCTAAATTCACATTTGAACAGATAAACTCAGGGAAAACATGTTTTCCTTGGAGGTGCTCTTTAAGACTTGTAACTTTAACCCGATGTGAATCTGGGTCATATGATTCATGAAAAAAATTAAAAATAAAGATGGCAAAAAGTTCTGACACTGCCACTGGTATGCAGAGGTATACATGTACATTAGAACGGGGAAAGCGTATACATTGTACATGTACACTTAAATACACGTATCTCACATTTGTGACAAAGGTCATCGTTCCCAGGCCCATTGCCTGACCAGAGACTGAGGGGGTTTGTCAAACAAAAAAGCAGAACTTTTGGCACATATTTTTATACAAAGGTCTATCAAAATGTGCTTTGGAAAACAACATTGAAAAGTTGCCTGTCTGTCGCAAACCAAAGGTTGCACGTAAGACTTGTACACTGTAGTTTTCAATGTTGAATAAACTTAACAAAAATACATTGATTTCAAACCCTTTGAATCACCTAAAATGTGGATATTTGCCAGAACTCCCTGACGGCACATATGACTAGAGATTAACTCATTAAATATGCAGAATCGTGAGAATCAATTAACATACAAGCCGTGGCTTGTATGCCGAATATTATGGTATATCTAAAATATTCAGTACACACACACATGTTCCTCTTTTGTTCATACTTTAACTTTTTCCGAAGACCTCCTTATGTTTTGTAATCATTTTCCAACTGTGGACTCTTCGGCAACCATGGACCCTATTGTACCCTATTGCTATAGGTCCACAATTAAAGGCGTTTCCACACTAACACAAACATAAGTGTGTATTTGCCTGCAACTGGGGACCCCTTATTGTTCCTCTTTTGTTTTTACTTTAAGAAGACCACCTAAATGTTTTGTACACAGTTGTCAATCGGGGACCTTATTGTCCTCTATTGTTCAGGGTCCCCAATTGAATCCAGAAACAAACTCACCCACACACAAAAAAGACCACGAACAAGCGGAACTCAGAAGCCAGCTGGGGGGTTCATTCGAACCCCCCAGCCTACGGGCCTGGTTCCTTATACTGAACTTGAGATTGCTGATACATGTACATGCATGTAGTTCAAAGGCTGTTCATTGTTTACTATACTGCAGGACAGACTGGTCATAAAGAACCCAACTGATTCTATGTGGACACACTTCTGAATGTAAAAATATGGGTACTTCATTGAACATGCTCATGTATAAACATATGCTACTCTTGGATCAGTCTTTTAGGGAAAAGATAGCCTTATAAGCTGGTCCCAATCACAGTGGTACCAGTATACATCAAACATTTATCTGCACTCTCCGGCGAAAGGTTCAGGGTGTTTGCATTGCTCCCAATGAGAATTGGATTGTTACTTTGATTACTTTCCCCACCTGCACTCCAACTGACTCTGCGCAGTGGGCTTGAGAAAGTGGCAAAGCTGAGTCTTGCCCTACAGGCGAACTCTTGAGAGAATCCTCTGTAAGAAAGGGGAAAAGGAAGTTTGGACTAAGAACAAAGGCTTGACATTGGTCCCTGTCAACTCAGACGGGCCAGTCGCAATCGTAGGCCCCCAAAATTTTGAAGAGTTAAGATATCCTGTAGGCTATACAAAATGAGGATGACTGTCATGCAAGAGTGACAGACACAGGCATGGCAAGGGAGTATGGCGGAGGGGCTATGTGGCAGACTTCTCCATCATTTTGTCGCCCTTGTCAACTTGTTTCTTTTAATGCTCGCAATTTTTGGCAACAAAGGAGAATTTGCTACAAAGAACATTACGGCCAATGATATAAAGTTTAATGAACGGGACCCACGAATACACGGGGTGCAATATGGGAGCATGCAGGAGATTGGGGTTCACTACCTCTAGTACAGTTACAGGCCAGAAAATATCAGCCAAATCTCACACGCCGATCAAACTGCTACATGTACTAGGGAGTGAACCAGAACTGAGGTTAGAATGTCTATAAAGGAGGTGGGAGCTTTGAAAAGGCTGTCTACAGATTGTGAAATGTGGATGAAGTCTGACCTTGCTTTTTTTACAGCTGATTATGTAGCGACATCCATTTTTATGAATACAGCAATCCCTACATGCCTTGCAAGTTACATGTACAGGTATATTTGAGAAATCTCTTATCGGTGCTGAAGTTGAGCTCGACCATCTGACTAATATCACAAGATAGCCCGGGTAAACTAGGACAAGGATTTAAAAAAATATCTAATAGGCCTAGCTTGAGGCTTCAATTCAGGCTGGAGGTCATGTGACGGTCTTGTGCATGGGGTCTTGTGATGGTCACAAGACAAACACAGGACCTCCCATCTGAACTCAAGTCACAAGCTATACAGCGGTCTTATCTTGCTTGTCACTGGTCTACAATATGAAGCGTAGGCCCTCACCACCACGGATGTTAAATTGTGGTTAATATCTTTATCTTACTTAATGATCTATAGTAAAGATTGCGGTAACACCATGTATTTATCTCTTCTTTGAGTATGTGTGGTTCTGAGAAGAACCGGGGAATAACTTGACGTTTCGAACAGTGTACTCTGTCCGTCTTCAGGAGACTGCATCTTCAGGAGACTTACTTAATGCTGTAAAAAATGCTGGTGAAATTTCAGGACCCTCATCTGTCATCGTTCTCGCTGACCAACCATGTAGTACGGTGATGTATTTGAATAATTATTAAAAAGGCCAAGGCATACACGATGTTATGCTGAAACTAAAGAGGCCGATATGATTTACAACCGGCTTAGCCGAGCTGAGTGAGACTTAGCCCCACTAGTGTGGCACGGATCACTCCCGATCGGGAGTGAGAGTCCGTGCCACACTAGTGGGGCTAAGTGAGACTGAGAGTTTGTCTTGCACTGTAGGCCTACTTCCGTGTCACTCCATGGAGGAAGGACGCACAAACCATGATGAAGGAAGTGTCCTTGCGAATTGCACAAACCGACTTCAAAGGAACAATGATGGTCGCCGTGGGCGTAAACTCCGTGGTGTTCTCACTCTATAAACCCGCTGCTGTGTAAACAATCCGCTGATTCAATTTTCGCGCGGCCTGCAAGCGATTAATTAAGGGCAAGATAAGAAAGGTTGTGTCGCTTGGTATCTCTTCATGCGCATGCGTACATGCCCAAAATGGCGGCGCACGGTCCGGAAGACTTCGTAATGACAAGAATAAATTCAGTGCTCTGAAACGAGCATTCGGTAACTGAGTACCTTCTTCTGGGCAAGCAGATTCAGTGATCATGTTTCAGAGCACAGATTTTATATTATAGTCTTATCAATAATCTGATCACGGTGCTACGCAGCCCTTCTTTATTTCCAGGAAGACTTCGTGTTTGGCAATTTTCCTCAATCACACGTATGAAGCTAGCTTAGCCCAACCAAAACCAACGTGGTTGTGTTTGTATTGCGCATGTCCAATGCAATATTAGACTCGCGTATGCAGCCATTCATCGTTATTACACCAGTAAAAACACCAGCAACTTGTGTGAACTGCAGAAGTGAAATGGTTGTAATCTATGGGGTGTGGTTCGAATCCTGTGTGGAAATTGTGGACGGGGAGGTTTTTTTTTTTTTAAGGAAAATAAAGCCCGGATGCAATTGAAGACTGTGGTTGAGAAGTTTCACTCGTGAAGTCTTTTATGGTTAGTTGGGCCTCATGTACATGTACACGGTGCATGCGAGTGGTTGATGGCATAGCACTTGCCAGTGATGAGACATGCCTAGTCGGCCATTTGGACCAGGCACCGCTGATTACCAATAAAATATTTCATTTAGCATTGCCATGTAGTGTTCCTTCCTCCATGGCATTACAGAGGGAACCATTCACATGAAAATAATTGTACAGAATTTCAGTGACCTTTCATGCTAAAATTTGAGTAACAATGAAATAAAAAGGAAGGCCGACTGGGGGGCTGTTCGCGTGTAATTTACGAGCGCATGCGTATTGCTAAAAAGCCACTGTCTGCGGCACTACCGGCAGTCTAGGATTTCTTACGTCGCCTCGGGTTGCGCTACACAGAATATAGCGAAAAACCTGGCCGAAATGGCGTCGCCTGTCGATACTCTGGGAGAGGTTGGCATGTTGTTCACTGGAAGTTCAAGATTATGGCCAGAATATCGCATTTTGTTTCAATTTTATGGGGGTTAGCCACGATTTTTAAAATTTGCCTTTCCCCAACGATACCGGAAACAGCAGTAAAACCGTGACACTGCGCTCAGTTCTCAGTGTAGCCGCCCGCCTCTATGCAAAATAGGCCCACAATTTTGGGCTTTTTGTGAAAGAAATATCCCGAACCGAAAACTATCAGTCCCAAATTCGAAATTTATAGAAATATTTCTATAACTGAATCCCTCCTGATTATGGCACGTCTTATTTTAAAAACCCCGTGGGATCACAAAAATCAATGAGCTCGCGCGCAGTACGGTAATCATCGATTTCGGGTGGAATTCACCCAAGCTTCGGTAAATCCCCAAACGTATTGCGAAATGCGGGACTTTCCAGTAACCAATTTTAAGGAGTCGGCCACATTACAAAAATGTTAAAACAAATCAACGTACAAGTAATGTGCAGAATTTAACAATATTTAGTTGTTTGTTGTTTGATTGTTTTGTTTTGTATCGACTATTGATCCGTAAAAGGCACAATTTGTCGTTTTAAGTTGAATCAGGCGTAGGGGATAATCATTTGGGGCTGTGTGCAGTCCTAGGTGAACTTCCTTTCTTGTTCCTTGAATATCAACACTGCACTGCTGAAACTCTAGGGTGAATGTAGGCTACCAGACGCGGGTATTCAAGTTGATAAATGCATGCATGCATTAGTTTGGGACAGTAGTGTAGGCCCAAAACACGTCTTTTATGAACGTGGCTGTAAACTGTGTGTGTACTAACCGCTTACTGCATGCATGAGTTGGAAACTGAAATATGACGTTGATCGATGTGTGGGTGGTCATATTCCGAAGTTTGTTCGAGGAAACGCCCAACAAATGTTATGTGTCACGTGGTGAGTGAACTATGGTATATTGACGTTGTGGTAGAATAATCCTTTCCTTGCAGAAATTGTCACTGGCAATTAACAGAGTATGGGTAACGAACCAACGTCCGGGACCAGCTAGATTCATGTCAGAGGGCATGCGTTATCATAATCCAGAGAACAATATTCACATGCACACCAGTTTTGTGTGCAGATGCACATAATCAACTGTCGTATATATGTAACCATGGACGAGAAACGAGAAACGGTATATGTACCCCCTTCCAAAAGAAAGAAAATACACAAAGAAGGTAGGTCATTTACAGCCTGCATTCGTTTTCATGTTAAAGTACCTCTGACATATGGATGATACAGCAGGATGTCAGCACAAAATAGGCTAAATGTGTTTCATTTAATATCGAGTTTGTACGCGGAAATTTCTGGTGGAGACATACGTTGCGATACGCTCTTTGGACACATGGCTATAAAAGAGCTACATATAAAACAAGAAAACATGACAATAAATATCTAGAAGAAGCCTTCGCGGGTTTCAAGTGAGAATTTTGTCCTTTATTGAAATATAATCCTAAATTTACGCGTAGAAGTGGGAATGAGTTTGAAATGATTTTTGCTGGCCTCTTTTCATCCACTGTCTGTATGGATGTAATGATAGCAAAATGGTGATAGCATACTGAGAGTTCGCGCCTTGCACGGGTTAGGTACCGGGGCAATGAAGACAAGTCGTTTTCATGAGAATAGAGTAGCCTCTTCGCTTCTAAGTTTTCAGGAGTCGTGGATGAATTAAACGACACTTTGTCGTTTTAACATGATTCAAAACTTGTAGTATTGTTAAAATCCAAACTGAGTCCGTCAAATTTGACTTGAACGTAGACACCACACTGAGCGAAGGTCGCATTGTGCGCGGCGAATCTCATTTTTTTTCTTGACGTTGACCGCTCTTGGGGGCTTTAAACATATGTAAGTCCAGAAGTCCCTAACGTAGCTAATCTTTTTGTTCTCACGCTAAAATAATGAGTAAACCCTACGGAATATTCTGATAAAAACCTTATGCCAGGTGGACGAAACTTTGCCATCCTCAAAAAGACCACAAAGCAAAGGTTCAATTAGCAATGCTACGTTGGATTCTCCATTAAACCCTACAATGGACGTCTTTCCCTTGCTGCACAACGTGGGTTTTCTCCGCGGTATGTAAATTTCCCCACTCAGAAAAGTATTACGGTGTATGGTTAGAAAGCTTATAGTATTGGTATTTCTTGTCAAGACGAATTACAAGAAGAAAGAGCTGTAATGATTGAAAAGCGGCATCTAGCTTGACCAAGACACGCTGGCGTGCCAGACGTGCGCCCTACGCTACCATTTTCAGTGTAGATAAATGTATGTACGCCTATATACGCGTGCAAGTAATTGATGAGATTTTTTTCGGCATTGTTGTAAAGAATTGTTATGAAAAACAACATAAAAATACAAAAAAACAAACAAGAGAAATAGGCCCTTTGTCGTGCAGAACGAGAACCCGTGGTACGCTACATTTTCATGCTTCAGGGGAAATGCAGACGGCCAAAGTGTATCGTTTATGTAATGATGTTGGATTCATTTTCAGACCTAAGCTCTATTTGCGACTGGAATTAACTATTGGGGGCAGTGCAACACCCCCATCCGGCCACTACGTCCCTGTCTTTGTTTTATGGTAATTTGAGGAAAGTTGTAATTGCGTTTTCAAATTGGAATCCATGCTATCTTTGTACATTAGCCAAACGTTCTTCCAAGAATTGACTGAACCTTTGTATCATTTCTACTAAGCAACAATTTACAAGCTGAAAAAAAAAACAAAAACAAACAAAAACCAAACCCATGGAATCCATGCACGAGGTGGAAGTCTACCACGTACACTTGCAAGAATTGACCGTTTTCCTTTTCATAGATTTGCACGGAGGAGCATTGTGTAGAGGTTCAGACGTTAAGCGAAACGGTTTGATAAATATTTCAAGACCCTACTCACCAGTTCACTATCGTATTCCCTTTGGAACAGTACTTAGTGTCAGGTGAAATTCCGAGGGAGCACTTAGGCTTGTGCACATGTTGGGCAATACTTGGCTTTTTTAACAGGCAAAAGGAATGAGTGTTAAATCTGAAATGTACACAAACTAAGCGTAAAGACAAAGGAAAAGTAAAGCAAGAGTTTAGAACACCGAAATCATTTCACTGATATGACTGTATAAAGAGAGGAGAGATATTACTTCGTGTGAAGTTAATATATTTACTCTGGTACTAAATACATTTTGTCGTCTATTTCTATGCCATAGTGTACTTTAAAATTAAGGAAAGCGTCAAATTGCGATATGAAATGAAATCCATATGCGAGGTGCACTTTACGTGTACGTTAGCCAATCTTTCAAGAATGGACATTTTTTATGTTAGGTTTACCCGAATGAGCCGTGGGTAGAGGTTCTCATAATACGCAAAACTGTTCAGAAATATTCTCAGACCTTACCAAGCAGTTCATTCATTATCTTATCCCCTTTGCAAGCAAGAACAATTAATGTTTTTTTCTTTCAAGTGAATTATATGGAAAAAGCTCAAAGACACAGGAACCATAAACTCAGAAGCCCAAAATGGTTTCAATAAATATGCATTACACGATAGATCGTACTATAAAGGAAGTATATATAATGTTGTAATTCATGCAGTTCGCGAGCCATGTCTATTTAAGGTTTTTTGCAGTGAGGAATAATTCAACCGGAAATGGGGAACTGTTTAATGAGGATTCTAAACTATTTTTCTTTCTGTTGAACCAGGATGTCTCTGTAGGTTTTGGACTATATTTTGTGCATTTAGGGACATTTGAGTGGATGTGATGAATGATAGGGTGTGTGAGTTTTGGTCAACCAGCAGGCGGGGTTGGCCTGGATACTTGTGTTTCTCCCTTGATGCCCAATATAGACTCTGTGCCTGCATAAACACACTGTAGTCATACTTTAGGTTGTACCGGACCATGTTTATCTTCAGTTCTTCCTAATTTTGTACAAATTGTAGGTCATGAATATAATCGGATGTAGCTTAAAACTAATGAGTGCCTGCCCAATTTCCACAGGCCGGGTCTCTGACCCCAAACAATAAATCAGAAGAAGCACAGTTTAGCAGTGAAAGCCGTGAGTTTCTGGGAGTTCCACCAACCCACCAATCCCCCCCTACTCTCTGTTCCGCCCCGAACCTGTGTGCCTCCTTCCAAGAGCCCTGGAGTGGAATCTTCCCTCCAGGCAGGAACTCCACCCCCCTGTTGGAAGACCGCCAGCCCCCTCCGCACTTACAACACACAACTCGGACTACTGTTCAATGTATGAACGTGAAACTGAACGTGCTCTCTCCCCCCCTCCCCTCCTCCCCTCCCCCCTCTCTCCGCCTCTCTGTCCCTCTCTAATTGTTTTGGCTTACTTGCAAATGACCAAGTTTGTTATAACCTTCAGCTGCACGGTTTCAGACAATAAACAGCGCCTATATGTAGGCCTACAATGAGTATTTACTTCAACAAGTTAAATCTGGTGTTGCAATTAACAGCCACTGTTGTACAGGTGCTGAAATATAATTGGCTTAAAATGTCTGTTTGACCAACTTGTTTTTATATTAGAAAATAATTCACAATATGGTTTCGTGAGAATGGTCGCTTTCTGTTCTGAACGGAATATCACACAACTGCATGGTTAATCATCGACAAAATGTATGTGACTGAGAACGCTCGATGGGGTATCTGTATACTTGAACTTTGGAACAAAACGGTCTTTGAATTTCCAAACTACATATTTGGTTTGGCCACACAGGGATATGCGCAAAAGGTATGCATGTACATGATACCTTAAAGGCCCCAAAAACATGATAAAGCGCATAGTTGAGTGTGATATGAAAATCCTAATATGTTTTGCTGCAAAGTCTTATATGGTGCATGTACTTTTCTTGTACACTCACACAATATATGTTAACAAAATAATTGGTAAGAAGAAATTGGTAAAATTATATTACTTTGACACCATTTTATTTAAATGTGGCCAAATGAAATACACAACTATTCTGTAATTTGAAACTAACTTGTTTAAATGTTATTTAGTAATGAATTTCCACAAGTTATGTACGGTCAAACTGGTTCTGTAAAGTTAACAAAATATTACGTAAAAGATATAATTTGTTGTGTTAATGTAAGTGGCACAATGGGTGCTTATCACCATGTTTGGGGATTCATGGTGGACGTGTGTACGTCAACTCAAAAGCTTCAAGACGGAAATATGAAGAAAGTTGTGTCGGAGTGCAGTTTTGACAACCTCCACGAACATTTGAAGATAAACAATACTGTATGAGTCTGCCCAAACGTTTTTGAATTCAAAATGCAATTGCCACCTTCCTTCAATCATCCTATTAAGACCAGTGTAAAACACAATTTATCTTTCACTATTCCTTCGCCCGTGCAGTCAGACTGCACGCGGCCACACCACATGTACATGTATGTATGCTACCGATACATGGGCCACAAAACCCTCCAGCCTTCCACCGCATTACTCTCTAAATTAACTTCCAAATATCTCCTTTTAAAGATTCATTCATTTCCTCTAATCTGCCATCAAACTGGTCCATAATCACAAGCGTATAAAATGAGGGGAATAAACGTTTACAAATATTCCATTAAGTGGCAAAATAAAGCAATGCAAATTACAGCAAAGAGAATTGAAACGGTTACCTGTGGAAATTGGGCAGGCGCTACCGTGCAGCCCACGCCGTCAAAGAGAGATATATTTAACGAATACAATACATGTCTGATAAACAATTCAACTAAGAGAACAGGGTTTGGCTATTTGACTACAGAAATTTTAGACGGCAAAATTTTAATAAAATAACATCCGAACTACATGTACAAAATTCAAATAAGTTGAAGTTCGTTTGTTGTGTGTGACCTCCAGTGAGTGTTTTGGTTAACTCCGGCAGAGATAGCATTGCAATAGTATAAATGAGCAATATGTATACAA